TCCTTTGTGAGCTGTAGCCATGTGCCAGACATGTACTGGGCCTCTGCTTCCACGTGTGTCCTCAGAAAACCCCACAAGGAAGGTAGTGTCCCCTCCCCATCTTACAGTTCGGGTCGCTGACGCTGTTGGAGGCTGAGGCCAGGCGGCACGCCCCGGGGCTCACAGCCTGTGCAGAGGAGAGCCGGGACTTGGACCCAGTTCCATTCTGAGCTGCTGGGAGTGTGGGTTCTGCAGCTAGGAAGAAAACTAGGTGCAGGACTTGAGGGGAGTGTCCCATTTATTGTCGTTGGTTTCCTCCGGGTTGGAAAGTGTGGGCGCACCTGCCCCTCTGCTCCGGAAGAGCGTGGCCCCAGCCCCAGGTCACCCAGGGCCCCTGTGGCCCACCACGTGGTGTCTGTGTGCACTAGGGCCCATCTGCCCGTCTGTTTCCCTTCCCTCTGCCGTGGGTTCTGCTTCTCCGTGGTCCAAACAACAAGCTCCAGCCCAGAAATAGCATATGTTTCCAGCCTCTGCTAGTCCAAGCCATAAATCGCCCGGTGTGATGTGCTCCTTGTGTCAGCTTGCTTCAAAACTCGGCGTGGGGGTGGCTGAGTGAGTGTGAGGAGCGTGCAGGGCCTCCTCCAGGCCGAGAAGCTGGGAGCTGGGGTGAGTCCAGGACTGAGGCTCAGGGAGGCAAGCAGGGACCGGAGCTGGCCTGGGGGCTCAGCCTGGGGTGGGAACCAGTGGGTGGCGGCCCGGTGTCAACCTGGGTCTCAGGGCTGAGACTTAAACGGGAGCTGAAATCAAAGGGTCAGGCATCAGTCTTGTCCAGTGGCCAGAGGTCCAGACTTGGCTTGGAGTCAGGGGTCAGAGGGTAGGGGCTGTGACTCAGAACTTCATGAAAATGGAGAGCTAAGCTCAGTCTGAGGTCAAGGTCAGGTCTCAGACTGAGGTAGGGTCAGAGGTTAGAGGTTGGAATCAGTCCAGTGCCGAAGGCCATGGCTAGCTGAGAAAGAAGTCCGCAAAGACTCAGAAACTGTCCTAACTCTGTCCTGGAAGTGACCGGTGGTGGGATGGCAACAGAGGGATCCCTGTGATAAATAAGACAGGATGTTGTATGCAAAGCCACTAGAGCAAGGCTGGGGGCCTGGCCCCCAGTCCCAGCCCCCTGCCTTCAGGATGGGAGCCTTGGTTGCTGACCTCTGAAACGTGGATGATCACGCCCCTGCCTCTGTGTTGATCACGCTCTATCAGTGTTGCTGATTTCTACTGTCCGAACTGTAGGCCCTGGAGTAGGGGTAGATAAGCTAACAGAGTAAGGGGCAGTGGTCACGGCGCGTGTATGAGATGCTTCCATGGCACTGAGTAGGGGTCTCAAGAGGAACTGTGGCAAAGCCCTGCATCCCCATTCATGCCCCAGGGCCCTGTCATTCCCAGGCTGCCCCTGAGAGGTGGCTGTGCAGCTAGTTCAGGCCGCTGCGGCCTGCCCTGAGCCGCGTGCAGGCAGCACTGTCTGGGCCTCCATTCTGTCAGCTGGGTTTTCCCGCCTCTTCTCCATTCCAGGCCCAGCGTGGCCGGAGATGTGGGGACAAGCCCACAGAGCAGCCGGTGAGGGAGCTGGGGTGGAGGAGGCAAGCAGGAATGAGAGGCCAGCGGGCAGAGGAGAGGGTGCCAGGGAGGAAGCCTTATCACAGGCCACTCTGTTCTCATCTCCCACGGGGCCTGGTCACGAACCAGCCTCGGCCATTCACCCACCCCTGACCTCAGAGGTCACCCCCTTCCCACAGGGCAGCACAGGGAGGTTCAACAAGGTGGGGGGGCACCAGGCATGTGGGTGGGTCGGGGGCTGGAGGGAGGTGAGAGAACCCCTAGGAGGCAGGAATGGTGGGGAGCCAGTGAAGGACAAGTGGACAACAAGAGGGGGGCCCTGCCTGCCCAGGATTCGAGGCCTCCAGGCTTTGGCTGTGAAAGTCCCGGTCACCTCCCCCGGCTGAGCTATTAATACCCAGCTGGGACCCACGCACCCTTGCTGGGAGGACGCCGAGTTCCTTGGGGGCTAAAAACGGTCTGCGATGGGGGTGGGCCCCGTGTTCTCCCTCACTGCTCGTCAGAGGAGCTGGGGCCAAAGGTCAGGCTGGCCTGGAAGGGGGCCAGAGCCAGCATGGGGGTGCAGAGGGCGACTGAGCCCTGGGATGGCCTGAGGATTCCAGGCTGGAGCAGGAAGGCAAGCAGCCAGTCCAGTCCCCGAGGGTGGGTGTGAGGGGCTTGCCAGTGGTCCCACCCAGGAGGGGACCAGATCTGGCCTTCCTGGCTCCTTGCCCCAACCTGGGCCTTCTCCCTCCCCTCTGACCTCAGCTTGGTCTGCCCCAGGCTGCAGAGGGGCTGGAGGCTGAGGGTTGGCCACCTGTCTCCTTCTGCTAGGAGAGGCCTGGAAGAGAAAGGGGACCCTGGGGAGTGGGGAATTGGGAGCCTCCAGTGGGATCTGGGCGCCGAAAGCAGAGCCTTTCATGCTTCAGCTTCATGTGTGAATCTCGATTATTCGCAGCATTCTCTCAGCAGTAAGTAAATGGTGGTACCATTTTCTAGATGAGCAAATTGAGGCTTGGTCATCTCCTCAGAGCCCGAACTGGACAGACCCGGTCTGTCAGAACTCCAAACCCCTGTTGGAGTCGTGTTGCCCCCTGTTAATGTCACTGAAAAAGAGATTTCTTGGTTTGTCTCAGGGATCCATGAAACAGATATCTCCATCAAAATGCCCTGATCACCATAGTGTTCCCGGCCCACCCTGGTGGCCAAAGAATGAAGGGCCTGCATTGGTGAACCCCGCTCCCAGTTATCACCGACTTTCTTCCCTCTTTCCTGGGGCTCACGGGACATCCAGGAGCCTGTGCTAGTCTTCTGGGGTCAAGGCCACCTGAGGCCACCCGCTCCCTGCTGTGTCCCCCTCCCTTCCTGTGACAGATGCTCCAAGATCCAGAGCCGACCCCGGATGAGCAGAGACTTGGCCGGGAGAGCCCAGATGAGAAAGTGACTGGGAGGTGTCAGCCCTGGAGGCCCCCTGAGCCGGAAATCCCGACAGCTGCCTGGCTCACGGGTCCTGGGCACTGGGCCCTGACCCAGGGCAGGCAGCGGCCGCATCAGGTGTCCAGAGGAGTTGGGGGAGGTGATGGCTGGAGCCAGGGGCGGTCTGCCTGTGGTTAGCGAGGCTGTCAACACCTCCTGGGGTGTGAAGACAAGAGTGATGCCAGGGGCCTGGGGGCAGGGTCCTCCTTTAGCCTGGAGGGTCCGAGGGGAGAGACGGGCCCTTCTTGAGGGTCTGGAAGAGGAAGCACAGCCCTGTCCTAAGCTGAGAGAAACCTGGCCCTGCCTGAGAAATCTGAGGAGGGGGACAGATCCCCCGTGGCGGCTGGTAGAGGGGATGTGTTTCCTAAAGGATGGTGGGGAATAAGGTGTGGGAGCTTGTCCCAGCCTGACACCAGGGAAGGCTGCCATGTCCTGGGCTCAGGGGGCAGCTGTGAATCTGCCTTCCTCCCCGTCCTGTCTGGGAGGTGCACGGCTCCACAGGGCAAGGCAGGAGGCCTCTGTGCTCAGGCTGACCACACAGCCCCAGGGTTTCCCTTCCCTGGGAGAAAAAGAGAAGCCTTAGCCTTGCCTGGATTTTCCTCAGCCTCTGGGGAGGCTCTTTACCTCTGTGCTGGTGGAGATGGGAGGCGGGCCACCTCAGAGAGCCTGAACCAGGGGACTCCTCCCAGGATGGGCCCCCCTGCTCGTTTGATCCGGGCCCCTCCACTCTGCTGATGCCCACGCGCTCTGTCCCTCTGGAGCCACCTCCCCAGGCAGTCCTCCTGGATTGATGAGAGATGAGGAGGCCCCATGCACCCACTCCCATGCCAGGCCTGCAGTGTCCAGGGCCACCCCGTGTCCTTAGGGCCCCCACCAGCAGAGCCTGACCACACGAGGCTTTGGGCCTCCACCTCTCTTTTCTCACTTTCAACACTCCCTCTCTCCCAGCTCTTTCCTAGACCCCCGGGCCTCTGGTTCTCTGACTGAACCAGCCCCTTGGCCACACTGGGTCTGGGCTACTCTCCTGTCTCAGCTGTCTCTGCTGCTCGGTCTGGGGCTCAGTCCCCTGCCCTGGGTCTCTGTCTCTTCTCTCTGGGTTTGTCTTCATGCTCTGGGCTCTGACTCAGATCTGACTGTCTCTCTTGTTTTAGTCTCCATCTCTGCCCCCTCTCTGTCTTAGTCTGGCTCCCGGACCCAGTCTCAGATGTCCCAGCCTCTCTGTCACTGTTGCTCTAGGACCCAGTCCTGGCAGTGTCTCCTCTCCCCACCAAGCTGGGGCACCTGCTCAGACATCTGCTCTGCCGTCTGCTCACTGGGTCCCACCGAGTGCTCAGACAACTCCTGTGGTCTCAACTCTGGCCAAAGTTCTAGGGGAACCACTGTGATTCCCAGAAGGTAGTTGAGCAGGAGACAGACCAGGGGGGCCTATGCTTGCCTGTCCCTTGAGGGACTCATGGCCCTTGGCCTCCCTCTGCTTGGGCCACTGGCCATGGTCCCTACCACACATAACTGCCAGTGCCACAGGCCTCACGTTTCACCCCAGCACTGATGGTTCAGGACTCTGGGCAGGGTCTCGTCTTGTGTCTTCTGGAACCAGTAGGGCTGACTTGAGCAGGTGTCAGAGGAGGGAATGTCCGTGCACTTGGTGGGCACCGGGTACTGTCCCCAGCATAAAGAGGTACTCCATAGAGTCCCCATGACTGCTCCTGTGACTGTAATTCCCCAGGGTCCCCAGAGTCACGATAGGTGGGGTAGGGGATAGGCTCAGCTGTTGCTGCGTCGAGTGTCCCGTGTTCACTCACATCCCACCCACGTCCCTCCACTGTTGGACAGAAGACCTCTCCCCACACCTGGGAGCTTCCCGTCCTCAGAGTCTGTCTCAATTGCACACTGGTGCTCACTAAGTTAATTACTGCTGTCTTGGGGATATATTTTTTTAAGAAGACATTTTTTTCCAGGGGGAAAAACACGCAGGAGTTATAATTAGTCAGGAAGAGGAAAGAGGAGCGGAGCGTGTGAATCACCAGCCCCGGTGACAGACGGTTAGAGCTGAGCAGAAGTTTTGGGAGAAGCTGCTGGGGTGTGGGTGAGTTGGGGCCAGGGTGCTGCCCCCAGGCAGGCTGGGGTCCTCAAACACCAGGTGTGTTTGGGACCTCACCCATCACCTGGAAGTCTTTATGCCCTCGCCCCAAGGCTCTGTCCCCCATCACCATCAAGGTTCCAGCTTGTCAGCTCCCCTGCAGGTCCCGCCAGCCGTGACCATCCCCCGGGCCTTCTGTCCACCTCATCCCAAAGCCAGTGGCAGCCCCTGCTGGCATGTACCTGGGCAGAGAGCCTTGTGACCTGAGTGAGGAGAGAAATTGTGGAGGGTTTGATTTGCATCTAGACCAGCTTCTCATTCATTCACTCACATGTTCATTGAGTACTGAAATCCTGCCGTGTGTGTGGTCCACAGACAGGCAAACCAAGGCCCAGAGAAGTGCCGCTCCTGGCCCAAGGCCACACAGCAGTCAGTGGAGCAGCCTCTCTGCCTGTCCTGTCATACCCTCTCTGTTGAACCGGACCCTGGGCAGTGCTCTGGGCCACCAAGGTGACCACAACCAGGCCCATATTCTGAGCCCTTTCTAACTGAGCCCGTGTTCTGATGGGGGAGGCGCCTCTAAGGCAAAACACCCAGTGCCGTGAAGTGAGAAGCACAGTGGGAGTCCAGAAGTGGCTCTTGATCCAGCCTGGTGGTCAGAGAGGGCTTCCCAGGGGAGGAGGTGAACAGTGTTCAGCGACTGGAAACAGCATGCTTGCCCACCATGCTGGAGGGATGTTGAGTGACTCTGTAACTGGGCTCAGACAGCGGCAGGAGCGAGGAATCGCTGGGGAGCCTGGCTTCTGAGCTTCTGAGTCCTCACAGTCCCCATCTCCCTGCTGTTTCTCTGGAGTGGCTGTCTGGGGCACTCTCAGACCCTGGTCCTTGCTGACCACTAGTTCTTTTTTTTTCCCCCCACTAGTTCTTTTGGATGTCTGAGGCCCGCTGACAAATGTAACCCCTGTCTGGGCAGTCAGTGGCCAAGGGGACTGGACCCCAGGGTTCTCCCTCTCTCCTTCTCCTCTGGCTGAGGGCTGTCTACCCAGTGCTCTGGGGGCTCCGCCCAGGCCTTGGGGTCCACTGGAGCAGCGTGGCCTGTGCCTGAGAGCAGAGAAGAGGATGCTTCCTCCCCTGGGAGGGTGTGGCATCATTCAGCACACAGAGCACTCCCTTCCATCCCTGGACCGAATTAGCCTTCCAAATTACAGGCTGCATGTCCTCCAAATTGGGGATTGGGTAGGAGAACAGAGGGCCAGCTCTCCTTCCTGCTTCCTGCTCAGAGGGCTCTCGGTTGACCCATCCCTAAATAACAGGACCACGTTAGGAAAGAATTCTGGGTGCACACACCCTCCCACCCCAGGGTGCAGGAAGCCCCAGTCTCAGACCTACATTGAGGCTCAGGGCGAGGCTGTGTCCTCCTGGGGTTTGACAACAAGCTTAGACCCAGAACATCTAGTTAAGGCCAGTTCGTTATTCTGAGGGCACTTGGGGGATCAAGTCATTCATTCATCAAGCACTTTCTAGACACTTTCTCTGTGCCAGGCCTTGTGCTGAGCTTTGAGAAACTGAGCGGCAGTGGAAGTGACAGACATGTGACCAGGAAGTACATGTCTGGATGAGCAGGCCTGTGGCAGGGGCTGTTCCCAAGTGGCCCTGGGAACCCTTGATGTGGTCAGGGAGAGCTTCCTGGAGGAAGGGGTATATAGGCTGAGTCCCAAAAGAAGCATATGTCCTTAGCCAGGGGAAAAGAATTCCGGAAGGAAAGAACATCAAGTGCAAAGGCCAGCAGCAGAGAGTGAGGGAGAGCGTCAAGAAGTGGGTGGAGGCACTGGTTTGTTCAGATCCAGGGGCCTTGTCAGTCATGCTTGGGAATTGGATTTCATCAGAAGTACAAGGGGAGAGGAGACCTGTGATCCCAGGAATAGAAGAGGATTGTGTGTGTGTGTGTGTGTGTGTTGGACCCACAGCCCTACTCTGGGGGTTCCAGTATAGGTATAAAGGGATGTGGGGGCAGATGAGGGGGTCCTGGGACCTCCCACATTGGTCTCCCCCCTCTTCCAGACAGCCTAGGGCCTTTGAAGAAGCAGTGTTTTACCACAAGGAAAACATGGGAGCCTGATGGTATTTCTTTGTGTCCTGAAATCAAGGTGCCTTCCTGTGCTTTCACTAATTGGTTTGGAACTTTTCATGTTTTTGTTTTAGAAGAAAATCATTATGGATGTCAGGCATAAATGCAATCCTTGTGTGGTGCTGAGAACAGAAAATGGAAGGAAAATACCTCCTGAGCTCGCCCACGCCTGTGTCACAGAAGAGGCAAGTGAGGTGGGGGGCGGGGGTTGCCGAGGCCACACAGCCACCGTGGTGGTCTCCTGGGAGCAGGAGGGGTGGCTTTTGGGGCTCCTTGGTGAGAGGATGGTTGGTGAGGGGTTCTTTCAGCAGGGAGGAGAGAGGACCTGGGGGTTCCTCCAACTTCTGGTCTTGCTTGCACACCTCCTGGAACAGAGAGCTCACTGCTTCCTGTCCGCCTGTGCTGAACTGGCCCACTGTTACCTGGTGGACAGTTCTCCCTGCGTGGGCTGTGCTGCTCCCTTCTAGTCCCATCCAAGGTTCCCTGTATTCTGTCCTCTACCCGACCCGGAACCTCGTCTCCACCTTGGCTATGTGAGGTGACGCTGGGGCCCCGGGTGGTCTTGGCAGGCAGGACCCTCGGCCTCTGCAGCCCGCCAAGGCTGGGTCTGATCTGGCCCCAGTGTGGTGCCTGCAGTCCTAAGCCTGAAGCTGGGAGGGCTTCCGGGCTGGAGCTTCCCCGGCTGGCGGCCAGTGTGGGAGCGTGAGGAAAGGCACGGAGCCCGCTTCCTGGATGTGTGACCTGCTGTCCAGCACGTCCTGCAGGGCCCGGCCCTGCTCGGCTGAGGACATGAGCTAGTGGGTAGAGTCAGGGCCTGGCAGGCAGTCCCACGGGCCGTGCTGGGCAGATGGGTGGGGCGCCAGGTCGGTGTGCGCCCTCACTCAGGAGGCTTCTGTTTACCTCCTGCCGTATGTCTGGCCCTGTGATGGCTGCTGGGCCCTCAGAAATGAGTTAGACACCGACCGGCTGCTGCCTCTGAGAGCCAGTGGTCTGGACAAGCAGGAGGAGATGACAGAGAGCAATAAAAAAACCTGCCTCCCTGGCCATATCAGCGAGATTGGCTCCAGACTTCGGGTTTGTGAAATCCTAGCTTACTGACTTCCAGCAGCAGCGAGGGACCTCTCAAAGTCACCTCTGGCCTCCTGCTTGTTCTGCTTGACCTGCCATGCCTCCCTTTTGCTGGCCCCCAGATGGCCTCTGTGTACTCTGGTCCAGCCTCCCCGGGAACTCGGCTGCAGTGAGCACTCAGGGTTTAATGGCCTCTCTGGCCATCTGGCCTTTGCCCAGGTTGTTCTGTCTGGAAAATGTCCCCTTCCTTTTCACTTGCTGACGCCTACTCACTCTTCAGAGTTGGCTTCCCAGCTTCCTCTCTGGGTAGCTTTCCCAGCCTCCAGATCAAGACAGCCCTGTCCCTGTAGCCCCCTACACTTCTCCTCAGAGCATTCATGGACCCTGTAATTAATCGTGTGCTAGTTCCACTGACGGTGGCCCCCGGGACCCAGAGTGGCCAGATTTCTCATGGCCACATCTGGATCCCATGGTCTCACCCCACATGAGCCCAGAGCATGTGCTTAGTCAATATATGTTGCTGCTGCTGCTAAGTCACTTCAGTCGTGTCTGACTCTGTGCTACCCCATAGAGGGCAGCCCACCAGGCTCCCCCATCCCTGGGATATATGTTGAATGATGAGTAAATGTAAAAACCGCAGTGTTTCTATTAATAGAAATTTAAGTTCAAGCACAGACGTCAGCTAGTAAGATTGAAATGCATTCTCATATACCCACAAGCTGAGGATGTTGCAAAGATGATTACCCTGGACCCTAAAAGGCAACCACCCCCTCGCCTGGTCACCAAAGTCATTGGCAGCAGCCGGTTCAGGGCGGCTCTGAAGTGAACAGCAACAGCAGTGACCCTGGCCATGTGTTGGGAGCCACCTTAGCACCAAATAAATGCAGAATTTTTTTCAATGAAACATTTATTTGGATGCCAGAACCTAGAGTATCAAAGATGTGTGTGGAGCCAAGATTCATTCATCAACAGACATTTCTTCAGAGCCAGCTACGTGCCAAGGGTTGGCTGAGCACTGCGGATCTGGCCGTGGACAGACGGGCTGCCTTTGCTTGTATCGGCGTCAGGCTGAAGCCAGAGGAAACGCAGGATCAGTGGACCCACGTTCGGCTGTGGACCAAAGGGAAGGGAAGACATTTCCTCCATGTGTGCTCTCTGAGCCCATCTCTGTCAGCAAAAGGGCGCAACCTGACCCTGTCCTGCAGGGCCCTGGAGACTCTGGTCGTTCTGCTGGGGGCCTGGGCCAGTCGTCCCCGCCCCTCCCCAGGACCAGTGTTCAGGCAGCTGTTCTAACTGGGAGGCCCCAGAGGACCCAGCAGACATGTCCCTGCTCATATCTGCCCCCCTTCATGGCCTGTACGCAGGATCCAGCCCCCAGCCAGCGTCTGCCGACGGTCACATTAGGGTCATGTGCAGATCAAAGCAGCCTGTCTCTGCTGCCAGGTCAAGGCTGGGGTGTCCCGCTGCTATGCGCGTGTTAGGTGGGGGGCATGCAGGGGCTGGGGCCCCTGGGAGAGGATGGTGAGTGCCTTGTGAGAACAGGGCCTTGCCTTCTCAAACTCACCAAGACCTGGTCTTTCTCATGCTTCAGCCCAGAGTCTCCCCAGAAAGGTAGCTGACAGCGAGACAGCCACCTCCCTGGGGCTGGAGCCCCCAGCCCACCTTGCAGGACTTGGGTCAGTGGCCTGGGATCTCTCTCCGGCCACCATGCCGACGTGCCAAGGCCCAGGTCCTCACCCATGGGGCCCTGCTGGAGCCGGGAGGGCTCTGAAGGACACAGACAGCTCTTCCTCTGGCAGGACAGTGGGGCCATTTATCAGGGAGATAAGCTGTAGCCAGAGGGCAGAGCTGGCGGAAGGAGCTGTCTGGAGGAGATAATCTAGGGTCACTCAGAGGGCAGAGGGTGCGGAAGGGCTCTGTCCCTACCCCACCCTCTGCCACCCAGACCCCGCCCCTGTGCCTGCTGGTCAGGCAGGCATCTGGCTGTCTTACCTCATGCCCTCCGGGGGCAAGGAGCTGGGCTTTGTTGGGCATGGAGTGAAATGAGCATTTCCTGTTCGTGTTCTGTGCCATGGCAGGGCCCCTGTAATCCTGTCTTGCCTCTTCACAGCTGGGGAAATCAAGGCCTGGAGGAGTGGACTTTGGACTTGTCTCGTCAAAGGGAGCGAGCACGGGGTCCTGACCCTGCCTTCAGCTTCCTGGACAGAGTGGGAGGGGAAATCCACAGGGTGCTGGGTCACTGGGCACTCGCCATGTCTCAGGAGCTGCCTGCCTCGCCTCCGTCCTATCCCCTCTACCTTGGGGACTCGGCAGTACCTTGTCCTCTTCTTCCAGAGGGAGGCAGTGCTCAGAGAGGAGAGGGCACCAGCCCAAAGGCAGAACCACTAGGAAGTGGCCCAAGGGGGGTTGGAATGCAGGGTTCTCAGAACTGTGTCTAGAGCCCTGTCTGCCCAGAGGGGCTTTGGGTGCCTGACAGAGACCAGAACAAACCCACTGGGTGGAGGGAAGCTCTGGATCCCTCTGGCCAGCTAAAAGCTGGTATCCCCAAACTGTCAGAAACCCCCAGGCTGCTCTGCTTCCCCCACCTCCCTACCTTGGCACTGGTGTGTGTTAGCTGCTCAGTCACGTGGCACTCTTTGTGACCCCGCGGACTGTAGCCTGTCAGTCTCCTCTGTCCATGGAATTCTCCAAGCAAGAATTCTGGAGTGGGTTGCCATTTCCTTCTCCAGGGGATCTTTCCTACCCTGGGATTGAACCTGGGTCTCCCACATTGCAGGTAGTGGTGCTCAGTGGGGCCCAATATACATTTCTGAACAAATTATTAAGTCTAAAACGAGCAAACTGATGAGCAGAAATAGTGACATTTTCCCTCTGTGAGTCCCTGAAGCTGGTGAAGCCCTCTCTCGGGCCTGGGCACACTGGTCTCAGTATCTCCCTACCAGGGACACCTCTGCACACTGCTTACTGGCTCTTCACAGTGGTTCCATCCGAGAAGACAGTATCACCTTTGGGAGTGTAGAGAACCCAATTCTTGGAGTGTAGAGGGAGGAGGGGGAGGATGAAGGAGTGAGGAGACCCCTCTCCTGGGCCGGAAGCCCACTGGGCCTTGCCCCACCATGGACACTTCAGCCCTGTGGCCCTCCCCTTCGGTATCACTAAGGGTTGATGTGTTCACAGTGTTGCCGGGACCAGGGGCTGGTCTGGGAGATGAACCCTGGATCTCCTCTCTCTGCCCTAATGTCCAGGGCAGTAAATTTGACCCAGAACCAGCCAGAGGCTTTTCTGGAAAGTATTTGCAGTATACTTTCTGTGAATGAAAGGTAGCCGGGGGAGAGGGGGGCAACCTGGGAGCCTTGGAATTCATCTGGCAGCCCTAGGGGCCTGGGGGTGCTTTTGAGAGCCTTTTTTGCCCATGATCAGCTTAGGGGGTTCTGGGTACTCTTTAGCCTGGGCCGTGCTGGGCAGGGAGAGGGGTCTGGATTGTGCAGGGAAGGGCTCCAGGGCCAGGGGGAGGAGCCAGTGAGCATGAACCTTGGTGCAGAAAGGAGTCCCTGGGGGCTTTGTTGTGGAGGGACAGGAGGACAGACAGGCACAGCTGTGTCAGCCCCACCACCGCAGCCCTCTAGGAGCCCCCACACCCAGAGGGGCCTGACCTGGGTTTGGTTGGGGGCATTGGGACCTCAGGTGTGGCAGGGTTTTTACTCTTGGACACTGGGTCACCTCACATCAACCCAGCGGAAGATGCACACAGACCTCCAGTCCTCAGGAGATAAGCACCTGGCTGCCTCTGCACCAGTGCAGAGCAGCCCTGGGCAGCCTCCCCCAGAAAAACCCCCATCCTAGGAAGTCCCCTCCTTGGTGGTTTGTGGGGGGGCACATTGCCAGCAGCGGGACCCCACACTGAGCTGGCTTAGCCCCTTGGGGGACAAAACAGGCACATGACAATTTTAACAACCCAAAAAGAAACCCAAGAAACACGGCTCTTGCTGTGCCCCGAACAATGCTGAGCTTGGCCTTACGGGCAGTCTCCCATGGCCTTTTATTCTCCTGACCCTGTGAGGGGTGCGCAGTGATATTCCTTGTTTTACAGGTGAGGAACCTAGGCCCAGAGCCACAGAGCATCCATAATCCTAGCAGCAGACGTGCACGGCGGTCCCAGAGGGGCCTCAACGCACTCCCCGGATATGTCCCTCTGCTCACAAGCGTCCTCCTAGCAAGAATCCTTAATGGGGTGGGGGGGCACTGGGTGACCTGAAACACCCATAGTCGAGTCCATGCGCAGGACTCCAACGAGGTGGATGTGGAAGCTGGCACGGAAAGTGGATCAAGCCTCTGGTTGGGGGGAGGTTGTTGCTGCTGGTACAGATGGATCCCATTTGTGTAACACATGTGTTACAGATCTAAAACCTGGGGTGACGCGGGGGCAGATGGGGCACCCCAGTACACATGTGCTGGGGGGCACCTACGCGGAGCCCAAGGACCACACCTCCCCTACCTTAGCATCCAGCACCCACACAGACTGGATCACGGCGACCTGCCAGGGCACTCTTACCCTCTCTCTTTCTCTCTCCACCTGGACATCTCTGCCCACCTGGCTGGGGACAATGACTGGAGGTGGGCCGGGCCTGGGTCTCGGGCGCAGAGTCCCGGCTGGGGCTCCAGGCCTGGTCCAGACATTAGGCGGCCGAGAGACTTGGCTTAGCCCCTGCTCAGCATCCTGACTCCTCTCTCTCTTCCTCTCTGCCTCTCTATCACTTGCTTCACATTCCTCTCATGTCTTTGGGGTTCTGAGGGGTCCCACCCTCAGTGGCAGCAGATACACTGGGAACATGTGCCCTTCCTTCTGCCCCGGAGACCCACGCTGCCTCTGGGCATCTGTCTGGGGGCGGGCCGACCCGTGGTGGTTACAGCCTCCCTTGAGCTGTACTCCCAGCCTGGTCCGGCTGCACTTGAGCTGGATGGAATAAAGGAGCCACTGGCCTCCATGTCCCCACCCACGCTTCCCTGCAGCAGCCCTGGGCTCGGTGAACTCGGGGGTGGATGAAGGCTTCCGAGATGGTGGCAGTGCCCAGAGTGGGTGTTGTGCCCGAGGACAGGGAGGGTGTGAGGATGGAGGGCTGAAATGAGGATGAGGTGAAGCAGGGACAGTGCTGAACACTCACAGGCAGGCCTCCCTGGGGCAGGTCTGTTCTTCGTCTCTGCTTCGAGCCCAGTGCCTGCCTGGTGTTCCTGCGGAGGGGCAGGAAGCTAGGTAGCTTCTGGTGCAGACTTCCTGTGGTCTTGGGCCAGTCAGGGTACCGAGCCAGGCTGTTTCCCCGTCTGTCATCTGGGGCAAGGTGATGGCAAGGGGAGGGGAAGGCGCAGGCCTGGGCATGCTCACCAGATTCCAGGAGGACAACTACCAACCACTGTAGGGCATCCACACGGGCCTTTCTCATCCATGTCTCTGGCGCAGAGTCACTCTGGCGCTGAGTACTCTTGCTGCCCATATGGACACCCACCTCAGGTCACACAGATAGGGGATGCTGGTGTCAGGATTTGAACCTGTCGCCTCTCTCAGGCCGCCTGCTGTCTGAGCAGAGCAAGAGGCTGCCAGACACTGGCCCGGGATTGGGGCCACCTAAGCCCTGCACTGGCCAGAGGAGACACCACACATTCTCCCTGCATGTCCACCCAGTCCACCCTGCTCCGAGCTGTTGCGTGCACCCCAGCTTGACGAGGCGGGACCTCATCCACTCCCACAGAGAGCCCACTGAGAACGGGCCAGGAGTCCAGCCACTGCCCTCTCTCAGCAGCTGTCCCCAGAGCCCGCGCCTAACCCTCAGGCACGTCCTGCCACTCATTCTTCCCAGGTGGCGTTGCCCCTCTGCCCCTCTCCTCTAACTGAAGCTGGTCACCTCACTTCCAGCTCTCATCGGCCCTCCCTGATCCCCATCCTTCAGCGGCTTCCCATGCCCAGAATTCCACCTCCAGGCATACGGGGGCCTGGTGGGACTCCAGACGGTGGCCAGCCATGGCGCCAAAGAGGACACCCTCCCAGTGACAGGAGCGGAAGGGCTGGAGGCAGGAAACCCCTTACTGGTAAGACTTACCGGTAAATCTCTGCTTCATGTCCCACAAGATGGGGGGTGGAGGGGGAAATCCCTTCCTGGGAGGCTGAAATGAGAGGACGTGTGCCTAGAACAGAGCCTGCACTGGGAGTTTCCTCTTCCTTCTCTGGGCTGGCCTGTGAGCTCCTGGGAGGCAAATAAACCGCCAGGTGCATCCCACGGCGCGGATGGATCAAGGATCGAATCACCACGCCGTACTCGTTGCCCAGCAGCTTGTGTTTCTGGCTCTTGGACTCACACAGAACACACAGGCCAGAACTTCCACTTGCCTCCTGTTGGAAGGTTTGCAGGCCTCAGGGCCTGGCAGTGGGTGGGGGTACAAATGGCCCCTGAGAGCTTGTGCAGCCCTGACCTTCCCAGGGCCTAGGCGGGTGTGTCCAGGCGTCCTCCTGCTAATGCTGTGTTGAGGTTGGGGACTCTGAGGGGGACCCTCTTCAGGTCCCCGTGGGCTGTGTTGTCTATGTGCCTGCTAGCCTGTCCTAGAGAGGGCCTCAGCCTCGTGCCTTCCCAGAAGCCCTTGGGGTTTAGCAGGGAGTGGTAACCCAGCGCTGCGTAAAGAGCCCAGCCCAGCCCAGTCCTGATCAGACTCCACCGGCAGGGCAGAGGCCTCTCACTGTTGCAGGAGAGGGAAGTGTCATGTCCTGGGACCCGCAGGAGTCCTTAGGACAGACCACCGCCAGGTGAGGGTCCTTGCTTCTTCACAGGAGAGAATTCAGGATGGAGCCAGAGAAAAGCAGAGGTAAGTTTATTTAGCACAATGCACGCACTCCATAGGCAGAATGCTGACCCTCGAAAAGTGAGAGCAGCCCCGGGGGATGGGGGTGGTAGATGTTTATGGGCCAAGTCATTTCCTATACTAACAAGTGGGAGGAATATTCTTGTTGTTTCGGGGAAGGGGGGGTTTTTCCAGGAATTGGGCCACTGCCCACTTTTTGGCCTTTTACAACCATCTGGGAACTATCATGGCATAAGGGGGAGTGATTTTGAGTATTACAAAGAAAGTATAATGAGCTGAAGGCCAATGACCAGGCCATTCTCGAAGACTGCTTGATTTCAGCTGGTTCCATTTGATCTTAATCGCATCCCAACCAACAGCTGCGCCCCTTCAATATCTAGTGGTTGTGTGCTGCCCTTCCCTCCTATCTCATTCCCCATCAGAGATTTTCTCCTATATTCTTTTTTTTCCAATTTCAACTTTGTTTTAATTGAAGGATAATTGCTTTGCAGAATTTATTTGGTTTCTGCCAAACATCAGCATGAATCAACCATAGGTATACATAAGTCCCCTCCCTTTTGAACCTCCCTCCCTCATATGTTCTTAATATTTACTTATTTCTTTGGCTGCGCCAGATCTTAGCTGTGGCATGTGGGATCTAGTTCCCTGATGAGGGATTGAACCTGGGCCCCCTGCCTTGGAAGCAGGGAGTTTTAGCCACTGGACCCCCAGGGAAGTCTCTTACTCCCATATTCTTATGGGAAGTAGAAGGACAATAATCTGTTTTCTGTAGCTGTTTCAGG